GCTCCCTCATGACTCTGAATAATCCCAGAATACTGTCTTTTGAACCTCTGCGTGACAAAAGCTCAAGTAATTGGAGGTCAAGAATTCTCCCTGGTGTAACTCCAAACAAGTGATACAGGGTGTCCCAGTCCTGTCGAACATCGAACCAAAGTTGCAGATATTTCTTTGATCCCAAAACTTTCTTTAACGACAGCCCTTCTACATTCTCTTGTTCGAAGACTTGTATTCCGAGTTTTATGAGCGCCAAGACATCTATAATGTATGTCTCTCTCCAAGAAAGAATTGTCATTGAGAAAAACGTTAGGACTCCATTACGACCAAAACTCTTTCCACCCTCGCAGTCACATCCGAGCTCTGGGATGTCTTCCACTAGCTGTGACAAAACTGGCAAGAACTCGTCAAAGGTTTCGGGAGTATCGATCATGATGGTCTTGAATAATGGCTCTTGTTCTACGGGTTCTGAAATAATTAGCATGATTTTCAATAAGATTGGACAATGTTAACATACCAATGGAATTTTCAAAGTCCCAGTCTATGGGAGAATCACTTTCCTGACCAATTTGGTCTCTTTCATCTTGGGAGACAGCCCAAAAGTCGAATTCGATACCCGATTTGCTCTCAATCTCATCGTTGTAGTCAGATGTGTAGCAATCTGACCTTTCGTCGCTAACAGAAACGAGGCTTAGCATGCTGTCCGATGAAGAGCTTTCGGTGTCTTCGTTATCATCATCTGAAAGATTTTGGCTCAAGCCATGAAGTTCGGCGAGATTCGATATATTATACTGTAATGACTATATTAGGGTGTCATCCAAGTAATGAAGGGGTAATTTCATACCAATTTTAAGTATTTCTTGCACTCATCGTCTAGGCCCATTCCAAAGTTCTCATCGAATTCGTCAGTGAACACAACGTCCCAGGAATCAGACATCCTCTCGATTATCTGAGTATATGAATAGATCAAGTGTTGTGGTTCCTTGAAATGGTGTTGCGAAGCTTTAGGGTCTTGCTTGTCGATATGAAGGCTCAAGTTTTGATATGAAAGCCAATGCTGCTGACGAAGTTATCAATTTGAAGATGTTGTGGTAGTAAGGACAGATTTGAGGTGCTGGAATCCGATAATCACAAAGACTTGGGATAGAAGAATGGCACGAGCATACACTGAATCCAGCTGCTGTATTCAATTCTTAATAATCACAGTGAGCGAGCGACTGTATAGTTGTGTGAATTAAGCGATATTAATGATATTAGAACCCCTGAAACATCAAATTGTAAGAGAACCGTGAATGATTTGTGCGTATAGAAAAATCTGACATGAGTACGGTTTTATATTATAAGAAAACCCCTAGATAACTACTGAACTAAGTACTGATTGGTGAGTTAGGTATTGTACGTCACCAACTGAAGTTATTTCACTAGTGGTACGCTAATAGCGCTAGGTTTTATAAGTTACTCATCATTCTACTGCCGCCAGTGTTGAGGAAATCGAACTTTAATAACTTTCAGAGATTCTATAGGAAAGAGAATTGGACACAGGGGTAGTACTGATACTCGAGAGATAGAGTAAGGATTGGCATTCTAATCGCTACAATGGCTGTGTCTTATTCGCTGAATTTCTTTTGCTATGGCATTGCTACAATAAATCCAATCTCCAATGCAAAAGCCAACCTAGCTTGGGACTAATTCTATTACTAACATCTTCAAGTTGGACTTATCTACATATATTGGAATGGATGTGCGAATATACATTATTGACTATAGGAAAGCTTTATGGTATAGCTCACAGAGATGGACACATTAGCTTGTGTACTAGTACTGACGCAGCACTTGTTCAACACCAAGTTACAAAATTTCTGCATCTAACAAGTCGTCTTAGAAGGCCACCTTACTAGAGAGTCTAGCGTGCACATGCGGCTCTTATGGTTGCTAAATTTTATCAACTTAAAAAACGAAAAGTCCCGAAGTGGGTCTACAGGAAACGTCGACTACTCACTAGATTTTATAGCGGGAGTCTTCTTCTATGATTGGTAAAGATAGTAGGAATAAGATTGAGTTAGACTTCTTGAGCGAATGAAATTATGTTTCCCTTAGACCATGGGTTGTCAACGCTGGTCTTCTGCATAAGCCATAACCTCTACAAAGATTATTAGTAGTAGGAAATTGATCGATTGGAAAAGCGGAAGGTTAGTTGTTCGCAGAAGTTAAATGAGTTTGGGAGATTTAGCGAAGGTGCGAATAACGTAGCTGTGGAAGGAATGGAAGATTGTGATCTTGATGAATCACTCCATAGCTACTACTATACTTGAGTAATCAGCAAAGGAAATTTCCAAGCTCTTCAAGTAGGTATGTAAAAAATGTAGACAGCAACTTTTGATTACTAAACTATATCAAATCTGAGAAGACATAGGTAGGTAATCGAATCATAAAGGTGTATACATCACAAAACAGTTATTGACTCGACATGAGACATAAACCATCTAAAGCATTCTTCAAATTTAGCTCATACCTCATTATTTCTTCACTCACATGTAGCTGGCATTACTTCCTGCTGTCTCATGGCGATAGCCCCTTCCTCCCATATCTTTTCTAGGCCCTAAAAAAGAGGAAAGAAGCACTGCATCATCAACATGTATAATGAGTCCGTAATCTCCCTCCTTCGTTGTTTTTCTCAACTACCACGACCACAGCGGTGGCCCAGTGTATCTGATACCCCGAAATACCGCCCAACAATATAAGATTTTGAATGTCTCAAAGCCGTTAAAAATGTGAACGTATTTCAATGTTCCAATCAACCTCAATATCTCCATTTATTTGAATATTCTAATTCGTTTGGGGATTTGGTAATTTTATTGTTGAGCCTGGCTGACCATCTGGCTAACAGGAACTTTTCACATCGAATCGCCCTCTTCGCTGCACGTCGTTCTTTCGCTCGTGCCCGTACCAATAATATTGCCGTCTCCCGCGCTGTCCTCAAAGCGCAACTGCCCGTCGCAGGTGGCACTGAGGCAACTGGCTCAAAACCGTAGCAGAAGCTACCGTTGTCACTATCTAGCGTGGCTTAACAACTATAGTTTTCAACCACTATAGCCATTAGCACCCGCAGTATATCCAAGTCCCACACGAAGGCTTTCGGTGGAAAAGAACTGATTCATGACACTTTCACGAAGTTTCCAAACGTGGAGGTCTCCACGACAGTGCATCGACGTTATGAGGACAAGTATCGTAGCGATCCCCACTCCCTGGATGGTAAAGATCACACGATACCTTTCTGGGAGCGAAAAGTAATCACCACCTCTGTAATAACGACGCGAGTCACAAGAGCCGTGACGAAACACGAGCGTTGGCAAGCCCCGAGCTTACGAGCAGAGATGCAGATCCGTGAGTAAAACGTCTGCATCAATCCTACAGATAATCAATCTATAAATCTATAGCCACCACCGAATGAACCACATCTGTGATCATTTTCTGATGTTCCGGAATTGCAAAATTATCGGTGTCTGGGTTTCTACCTCCACTGGAGTGTATGAACGTAGGTAAAAGACCTTAAGTCATGATAATACTGTAGTACACTAAGCGAGAGAACTAGCCTCAAAGCATATAAGAGTTGCTTCCTCCTGTAGAACGCCAGCTCTCTAGACGACATACAATATTGACAACTAGGATCTACCATCATGAGTACTACATCATCTGTATCCTTCTCAAACCAACAGAGAGTTTTCTAAGGGTTTGATTGGTATATATTAGAATCTGAGAGTTTCCGGTTCTAATCAAATATGGATGGCAGTGAAAGGAATACGAAGATGTGGGGTCGATGGAATAGGATTGAGGATTTGGATATGATAATATATAGTAGATAGTTAAAAGAAAAAGCGAAAATGTAAAGTAGAATAAGACAAACTCTAAACTATTATCGTAGGAGAGTTGGCACCGCGTTCTTTTAAAGTCCCTGTACCCAGCAATGGGAAAGAAAAAAGAATAGACGTACAGACACAAACCGGAAACCCCTTGTGATCCCCCCTCTTCTTTCAAAGCCTATAATTATACCAATTCATATCATACAATCACTCTCACCCCCTCATGATACCACAATCTTCCCATCTAACCATATGATTTAACCTAGTATAGAAAAAGCATCCCTCTTACATCATACCGAAACTTTCCGATGATTTTGTCGTTAGGCTCTAAAACAAATTAAACATCCAAATAAAGCTATTGTACCATACCATACCATACCATATTATCCCACAACACAACACAACATCCAACATCCAACATCCAACATCCAACATCCAACATCCAACATCCAACATCCAACATCCAACATCCAACATCCAACATCCAACATCCAACATCCAACATCCAACATCCAACATCCAACATCCAACATCCATCATCCATCATCCATCATCCATCATCCATCATCCATCATCCATCATCCATCATCCATCATCCATCATCCATCATCCCTATTCCCTATTCCCCATGAAACACCCCCAATAACAAAATATCTCACACCCACCTTCCACCACCCACCTTCCCATCCTCAAACTCCAACACAAACTCCACATCAGCACTTCTGACGCACGCACGCAGTGTACTGAATAGTATACCGAGTAATGTACACGATAGATCATAGAAGCGGCATACTACCATTACATCACACTACACTACCTAGAACAGGAGATAGGAGATAGGAAATCGGCGAAGAGATGAGGGGATGAGGGGATAGAGATAAATAAGGAGACAAGTAAAAACCAGACGCGAGAAAAATTCCAAGATTTTACAGAAATGCAAGTACCTAGGTACCGTACCTACTCATACCTACCTCTCTAGGCCTCTCTAGGGAGGGAGGGAGGGAGGGAGGAAGGAAGCATTCAAACAATGAGACTATTCCCATACTCGTCCAACCCATTTGAATTTGTGTTAGAATAATAAGAATCACAGAACACACACAGATATAACAAACAAACCAGCGATACAGAGAGATGCATCACCCAGCCATCAATCAAGAACAAAATTATGTATTAAAAAGACCACTAAAAGGTAATAATATAATCCGTAAATCAATTAATCACATCCCGATTCCATTCCCAAGACATGAAGGTAACTTCCACTTCATAACTCGATATTTCTTATCCTTTCTCCCCATCTCGCAGCACTTATCACATCATATCATATGACATAACAAGATCTCCGAGTGTTTCAGAAAAGTCGAAAAGATCCTCAAAGTTTCCCTCCCAACCCATCATTCATACATATACGCATGCATGCGTGCGTACATATATGCCCGTCCTGTTCATCCGCACTGGTATCGTAAACTATCCATCATTTGAATCCGATATCCGATATCCGTATCCCAGTAACCAAACATGCAAACTCATGAAAACCGCTTTCTCCATCTTCAAAGTAGATCGTAAAATGTTTATTTATTCATTTAGTAATGTGTATGTGAAAAGAAAGTTCTCGTCCTCGTAGGGATTTAGACTGTTTCGCGCTCAGTCTTGCCACGACGTTCGCGGCCCTTGACAGACCATGGGAAATGAGCGACTGGAATGACGAAGAAGGAGTTGCTAGAAGAGAAATAAAATGTTAGTTGTTGGATATATGTTGAGATGGGGATGTGGAACATACCTATCATCTGCAAGACCAGCCAAAGCATTATACCAGGCCATAAAAGCCGCGAACAATCCGAAATATCCACCCGCCTTGATCGCACCGGAGAGAGCCACTCCGGCAGCGTTCGCTCGCAAGTGACCGATTCCAAGACATAGGAAAGCCAAGTCGAGGAAGAAGAAGAGCAGGAAAAAGGCAACGGTAGAACGTAATGTGCAAATCAAGAGAATGGTTGTGAAAATGAACCATCCCATGAGGAAGAATCCGAATGCATTGTTGAAATCGTTGACGCCGGATCCGGCGCCTTCGTATGAGGATACAATCTGGAATCCACCGGGTGTGAGAACAATTGCGAGGGAGATCCAGAATCCTCCGAATGATGAGAGAGCGGTGGCACCGAAAGTGTTTCCTACGGCCATTTCCCTAGATGGATGTTAGTATTTGTCATTTCGATATATATATTTGAGCTCAACGGGTATTAACTACATACCACATGCCAGCAAGCAATTGAACGAGACCACCATAACCGAAAGCAAGCGCAATAACGATACTAGGTTTGGTAACACCAGCCGTTCCGATATTGATGAGAGACAGGACGAAAGTAGTCAGAGCGAAAGCACTGAGACCCAAAGGCGCCGGATTGGCGAATTTTCTTTCCGTCGTAGGCTTATAGAGACCGGGTTGAAATTCTCCACCAAATGCTGGGAATCGGGCGGACTCTCCCGTATTCATATGTGCCAATGGGTTTCCTCCATAATCATATCCTCTTGAGACGTGGGCATTGGGGTTACTGTTAACACCTCCTCCATTGATAGGGGCATGGTCCTGAGTATTACTCAGACCAGATTCACTGGTGTATTCCTTGTTGTATCCATTATTGTCAGTGGTGGCGGTGGTAGCCATGATGAATTTAATGGTCGACTTTTATATGTTGTGTTGTGAGCAAATCGAACTTATTATCAATATGATATGGTGTGGTAAGAGAAGAGCCAAACTTTGGAGCTCGATCTTCGTGCTGAATAATAAGTGGCAATACAATTGGTGAATACACAAAGAGTAAGAGAGAAAAAAAGAATCGGATTTCTGACAAATGGATCAGAGGGGAAAAGGATATCGGGATATATACGTGAATTACCTAGCAAGCTACTAGGTAGGGGACCTAGGCACTAGTTAAGTAGCATGTACATCGTCTGAAATGGGGAATGAGAGGGGGAGATTGATTTTTGGGGTAAGGAAGCTTTGCTTATTTGCTCCATACAATCCGGGGCGAAGCTTGTACGTACCGCGGTCGGTCATGTTGCCTATGTTTATTACATTCTTTCAAGAAAGAAAGAAAAGAAAGAAATTGGAGTCATCCAAGTCGTTAAATTGGTGTAGCATTGACCAATCCCATCTTCTCGTCTTTGTTGGGTCTCCAATAGAAAATCAGAACTTCGTAATGATTATCCCATCGACACACGACATGCCGAATGGAGTATCGTTTTAATCCTTGACCTCGTCATCCACAAGAAATCTCTTTGCATGTTGGTCCCCTGTCGATTATCCTAGCTCGAGTCGGATTTTACGATGAATCCTAAATTGAAAATGTCCATTTGTGGGGAAATGAAATGGGATTTGGGATTTTTGTTGGTTGTTGGTCTGGTTAGATTTGTCTCGCCATTGTGTACGGAGTATGGGGGATGTTTTAGTCTCCAGATTCTCCTCATCCGGTTGTCCTTGATACCGAAGAGGTGGTCGTGATTGACATATTCTGTCTTGTGTCGTTTTGTCGGAATCCTTGGGTGAAACTACTGACCGTGATATCTGTCCTTCCCAAAGCTAAGTAGGCAAAGGGGAGTAGGCAAAGGGAAGTAGGCAAAGGGAAGTAGGCAAAGGGGAGTAGGCAAAGGGGAGTAGGCAAAGGGGAGTAGGCAAAGGGGAGTAGGCAAAGGGGAGTAGGCAAAGGGGAGTAGGCAAAGGGGAGTAGGCAAAGGGGAGTAGGCAAAGGGGAGTAGGCAAAGGGAAGTAGGCAAAGGGAAGTAGGCAAAGGGAAGTAGGCAAAGGGAAGTAGGCAAAGGGAAGTAGGCAAAGGGAAGTAGGCAAAGGGAAGTAGGCAAAGGGAAGTAGGCAAAGGGAAGTAGGCAAAAGGGTATCGTTTGCAATCTCCGATCTACAAACTACAACCTGCAACCTGCAATCTACTCATTCACCTCTCAGATCAGCCTGTTTACTTTACACATATAGTTATACTAGTAACCTGCAATGATATTGCAATGGCAGCCACCAGAGAAATCACCATAGTTTCTTGTTTGAAGATTTGTAATTGGCTTGACAAAGACCATGCATTATAAATTCTACATCGTATGGTTGAGAAGTGTGGTTACTACGGAGGTATCCATAGTATCCATAGTTTCGATATTTCGAGGGGACATTTCCATTCTGGTTCCAAAAGTCATGGTATGACGATCAAAGTTCATTCGGGAGAGAAGCTAAACTTAAAGGGGTATCGAGCTACACCCAGAATCACACGCCCCTTCTCTAACCAGTTTATCCGAAAACCTTGTGATATCAGATATCGTTTGTACTAGGATTGATAGAGTTTCAATTTTCATATTTCCAATCATCAAAAATTGGTCTGTGTTGATCGAGTGGGTATGGTGTGAATGAGGAGAAGAAACTGGGGGAATCGAATGGCAAATGAATATGAATGGCAAGATGGCAATTGTTACGGGATGTACGGAGTCAACGACTCCAACACAATTTACATTACAATCCATCCAACTCGGGAGAAGCTCAACATTTTGATGGTAGCTGACTCGCTTGCAAGTATTGATTTGGAGTCCATACCCCGGATGCTGCCCTGGATACCTACCGTATTGCGGTCAAACGTTTCTCATTTTGCTGAAAGCTAGGATGGTTTGTCGCCGAGCTGACGGGTGCTTTTACCTCCAGGTTGACTGTGTACGGGGTAGGGTTTATACCAACCCCTGATTATGCCAGGCCGGATGTTTGCCTTTATGAGGAATGATAAGCGCCAATCATAGAAGCCTTATGGAACGGACAGAAAAGTCTCATCAAATGCTAATTCTCAAGCCTAGAACCACCATAAGCTTAGTACAATATTACTTACACGAAGACTGTACATTAGGCTTTCCTTTTGCTTTTCTCTACTTACTTGCATCGGTTGAACGTGATAGTATCCAATCTATTCAACAAAACTAGTGGGTGGATTCCCGGAAAGGTACACCCATTCGTGCGTAGGATCACCAAAGAACAGAGAGAGAGAAAAAAACACGGGAGTTGCACAGCGAAAAGAATAGAAAGGTGACTGACTCACATCTAAAACATGCATATAATCGCGATTTCAACCTCATCCCAACCAACTCGTGTGGAGGATTCCCGACCCTTCTAATACTTTTAATTGTAAAAGGGTCGAATGGACCAACGCGAGTGCACCGGAGGCTCGTCTTCCAGTATGCACCCCATTCCATCGAATAGCGAATCTCAACGTATGCTTACACCCCATGGAAGAAATGCAAATACCCTGGTAACAAGCATCGAATGGGGGACAAGGGGATACACAGCTAGTACTGTAGCATGTACGGAGTGCAGAGTGCAGACTAGCTTACCTTTACCGCGCCAATACGAGGAGAAAAGCTTATACCTAGGTACACCAAGCATTTACAGCATCGAAAGTTAGTTGGACCAGTTCACGCGATGAACATTTCTTTTCAAGACATAAAAACGTTACCGGTACACAAATACCTTTTGTTCTTGCCAAAGTTTAAAGTAAGCCACCACTCTCATGCCCAGGTATAGGTTTCTATGTTTTTGAACGCTTTGACGTACATACCATATCTACCTCCGTAGTATCCATTTGTGAAGAATAGAACGTTTGCGGATCAATGGAAAAATGGTTTCAAGAAGTATGAAGATATGATGGCATTTTGGGGTTTGAAACAAAGAATCTTCAAGTACCGAATTCTTGACGTGGGATACTTGAAGTGCCATACGATACGATATCATGATTTTCTGGAATGAAGAAGAGAAGAATGAGAAAGAACAAAGACAACATACATACTCCGTACTACTAATCATGAAGAATGTGCATAGCATGAAGTGACAATTAGAATCACGGAAATCTCGGTATCAAAAGAGGAATAGTTTGAATGCTCGGAATCCTTTTCCGCGTTTTTCGTTTTGCTTTGGGCTTTTCATCCGGACATATCTCCAGATTTTCTACGATAGGGGCTCGGGGGGTGGTGACATTCCAAATTTTCAATCTGATAGGATGGATGTACTGTCTAGGTACCTTGGTGTGTCCAGGTGTTTATAGCAACAAGTTACTAACACGTGAATTATCATGTGATATCTCATGAATATTCATCTACGAGTACCTACCTACAAAGAGATTTCGTAGAATTCCAAGAATTCAAAAGCCATCAAACCCTTACTATCTTCCCAGCCCAAGAATCTCTAGAGTCTATACCACCCACCCCCAAGGACCTACCTCTCCTTGGCTCTGGAGAAAGCCTGTACAATCCCCCATCGCATCTCAGCTCTCGAGTCTCGGCAGCCGAATACCACTCGACTCCACAATAATATCGATAACAACACCTGTCGGTGTCTCTGCATCCGGAAGTTGATATGCCTAGGTATGTAGAGTACCTTTGCAGATATTATGTGACTTGCTGGATGAAGAGCCCGCCAGTCTGGTCGGATCTAAACATGGGAGGGGATATGCATACACGGAGTACTACGTGGCCATTTCATAAGGTTTGAGGGTTGGATTTGGGCGTTTTGCTGAGGTTGTGGTTGTGGTTGTAGTTGTGGTGTTGGGGAAAGGAAGAGAGGAGAGGAGAGTTTGTTTACTTTTTTATGTTTGATATAGGAAGGTAGATAGATAGGTATATTTATAATAGGTACCTATCTATATAGGGAATTATTTTCCATCATCAATTTTCACTCTTCCATGAAATAAAATATGGATTGAAATCAATCAATACTCCATACCGTAGCTATGTATTCTTCCCTACAAAATTAAAATCCAAAAACTAAACCAACCCTTCTTCCACCTCACTCCCCAAATGAATCGCGTACAATTTCGGTCTTGAAATCTTAGCTAAGATCTACACACCACCTACCTATCTGCACACAGTACATATCCAAGCTTCGGTACATACATACAAACATACACAACTCTCAAACTCTTCAATATCAAACTAATCAATCGCATTACCATACCTATCTTATAATCCCACACATGAAAATAAATAATAATAAATCATATAGTTAACTTACTCCATTCAACATCTACCTACTATAATATACTAACCCCTCACATCCATCCAGGAGCAACGGCAATGGTAATGGTAATCTCCACCGTCCCCTCAAAAAAGAGACTAATCACGAAGCTAGGAGATAGGATAGGATCATGGCGTTCTCTTCGTTTCATAGATATCCTCGGGCTGTGGATTCGGGCGGAAGGCGCGGGCGATGGAGTGGAGAGGTGAATGGGAGATGAATGGGAGATGAATGGGAAGTGAGGAGGTGAGGAGTGAAGAAATGTGCTAGGACACCGAAGGCAGATTTGGAATGGTTTTTATGGTACGCATGGCTGGGATGATGCGGGTGTATCTATATTGTTTCTTTTGGTAGGTAGGTAGGTATTGGTGGGAAGGCGCAAAAATAATGATGGATGGATAGGTAATCTATCTTTCTCTCCTCTTGATCATTGGTATTTGCGAGAAGGGAAGGAGGGTGCCTACTGGAATTTAAATGTAAGGTGTCTTTTTTCTCGTTACAACTTGATATAGTACGGTGATTTGGTTCATTCTTGAGAGGTCTGTTGATATGTCTGTATGTGTATGTATATATGTATATATATATATATATTCAAGAACGACCAAGCATGACAATACAAATGCGATTCATTCAATGATCAACCAGTATACGAAATTCTATTTCTAGTGATTAGAATTTCGCATTCGTAGTAAAATTATATCTTCTCAAAAGAGGCTCTATCAAATTTTCAATAATAATACAGTGGTGCAGTGGACTGATGTTGTGAAGATACATATAGTAAGATAAGTCATTTTCCGATTCCTACATCCCATACTTTTGAGAGAAGTTTCTTGCTGTTTATATATTAGTTACTATGTCATTTAAATCGTATAGGGATACTGGTATTATCTTAGTTCTCCATTCAAATACGTATACGTATACACACATGTACATATACAAATACATACATATACACATACACACACCCCCCAATCCCATTCGACGTGAATGCCAATTCATCTCCTTTAAAATTTTCCAAAAACACCATATAACACACAACTTTTGCTCACACAAAAAAGAAGGTCCCAGAATGTCAAGTCGAAGACGTAGTTATGTGCGCGCATATATACCTATATAATCCTCAGATTCAGGAGAATCATATAAACAATACATCCCTAAGAATCAAATTGAATTAATTAATCATCCCCGAACAACTCTTTCTAGCCTCGTCTCAGCTTTCGCATTCCGAGATCTGTATACCTACCTACTCTATTGGAGTTCTTTTCTTTTGCTCTCTCTCTCTCCATCTTCCTCTTTATTCCTCTCGACTATTCTCCTCTGTGATATCCTCTCATCTTCTAAGAAGAAGAAGAAGAAGAAGAAGAAGAAGAAGAAGAAGAAGAAGAAGAAGAAGAAGAAGAAGAAGAAGAAGAAGAAGAAGAAAAACAATTCTAAACTCCAATCCACTCCACTCCACTCCAATCCTCTATCCATTTCATAGGATACTCGGAATGAGAATATAGATTATTTCAGGATGTGAGATTTTTCTTTTCATTAGACATGAGTTTATTTACACGTCAAATTGCATTACATAACATATTTGCATATAGGATAGATTCATATCATATAAAGCGGATACACACACACACAAACACATACACACAAACACATACACATGTAGATGTAAATATCGATATCGTATAACAAACACCTAAGCATATTTCCCATCGTAACCAAGTAGTATATATACAAGAATATAAACATAAATTTCCACCTTAGCCCTTCCTTTCTTCCTTCCCTCGCTTCATCTTAACTTCATCTTTACTTCAACTATATCTCCCCATTCCTTATCCAACCATCATCCATCCTCAACCCCCCTCCAATCTAATACTCCTCCTCCTCCTCCCCCTCACACTCATCCGCATCCACCGAAACAACACCACTCACCTCCCCCGCAGACTCTCCACTCGCCGTAGAAGTCGACGCCGCAGACGCACCCACCGACGAAGTAGCTACTTTCGTATGCGCAGATTTCGTGTGCTTGCTTCTCGTTTTGGTAGCGAGAGTGGTGCTCGCAGGAACGGGGGTAGCAATCGCTGCTGCCGAGGAAACTGGTGCGACGAGGGACGCAGACGCTGAAGCGGGAGCGGAGCTAGAGATTTCGAGACCGGCGGCTGAGGAGACGGAGAGCCCGATGGATGGCGATGCCGAGGAGGAGGAGGCGGGGGAGGAAACGATAGCGATGTTTGCGGAGGAAGTAGATGCTACGACTGCAGCGGCTGGGCTAGAGCTAGAGCTAGCGGCGATGGTAGCAGCAGCGGAGCTAGCAACGACCGAACCAGAAGAAGAAGCAGTGGTAGTCGAGTTACCGCTCAAAGTAGCACAAGCGAAAGACATTTTCGAGACTGGAGTTCCGCTGCTCTTTTCCGTGCTCAAATCCCATGTCATATCGACATACGGCCAGCAAACCTTATCGGTACCGATAGTGACGATATCACCACTGACAAAGGCTTCGGTGGAGACGACGGCAGATCCAACCTTTGCGCCCGTGTTGTCGATGACTTGGAAAGAGGTACCGGCGTATGTACCTGAGCAACCCATGGGGACTGGTTGACAGTCTGGGGAAGTGAGGGTTTCGTAGGTGACGATGGAGTATTGGGAGTTGACGGCGGCGATGTGGACGTTTTGGTGATCGTCGGTGGAGGAATAGGTGATCCAGGTGACTTGGGTGTCGCCTTCTGCGGCGCCCACGGTGGAAGAGGCTTCGGCGGCGGCGAGGGTTTTCTTATCTGTCATGACGGAGATGGCGACGTTGTGGTTGAGCCACCTGGGTGAGCATTGCGTATACCCGGTTCCCATCCAATCATTCAGGGTAAGATCGAGAGCGCCGCGTGATTGCCATGCGAAGATATATCCATCGGAGCCTGGGATCGAGGCCAAGTTAGAGTAGGATCCGGACATACCGCCCATGGGTTCACCACTGACACCATTGGTGGTGTTCTCGTTGGCAATCTTTTGACCAGACATATATTGCGTTTCGGTGTTCAACCAGATATCGCCTTGATCTTCGGCACAGACACTGGCAAAGGGAGCGGCATCTGCAGCTTCGATACCAATACCGGTGTTGTGGGAGCAACCGAAACTGCTGCTTGCACCGGAGATAGTTTGGAGAACACCATCGTCATTGACGTATTGGATGGAATCACCGAAATGACCAGCATAATCGGTAGTATAGGCTACAAATATCTGTCAAACTTGCAGCTCATCACAAGGAGGAAGAATAATATACATACCCTCCACGACGAAGTATCCAGCATAAAGACCAGCAGTAGCGGAATAAACGAGATCACCATTAGCATCCGGAGTCGAAGTCAACATTTCCAAAGGATGAACTCCTGGACCATTCAACGCCGTCTCCCACGTCTTTGTACCATTGGTATATCTAATGATCGACACGATAGGTGATCCATCTGTAGGAAGATCAGTAGTCCCCGTCGCATTGACTGTTGCCATCAAGGCAAACCCATCATTTTGCGCCACCAATCCGGTAGCTTCATAAGCGGTAATCGCAACGGCCTCGCCGACGGCGCTGAAATCGGTGAGGGAAACTTGTTGCACGTATACCTTCGCATAGGTACTATCGAGGTAGGCAAGATAGGCCGAGTTTCCATCTGGCGAAACGGAAAAGGGAGTTCGACGATGGTGAGGAAGACCTGTCCAGTAGGCCGACTTGATGGGATCAAAGTTCGCAGCTAAAGCGAGAGAGTTTGGGAAAGTGGAGATGCTCGCATCTCCAAGAGCAGAAGTGATGCCACTGGCAAGCACGGAATAAAAGAGTGTGGAACGCATAATTGCATGGATATCTATATTTTTGTAGTAAAGACCGACGATGAAGAACTTTGTTCTCCAGGAAAAAAAGATCTAGAATAGACAAGACGAGAAAAGAAGGTGGGTTGATGGAGAAAGGAAAGTATTCACATCACGAATGAGAGCGATTATATTTCATCTTTATTTGAAGATTGAACGAACACCTCCAAGCCAATTACCGCTGGGCCCCATCCAACCCATCAATGCCTGCCGTGATCTACTAAGATTATCACACCATACAAGCAAGCAAGCAAACAAGCAAGCAAGTGGACAAAAGTTCCGTGATGTTTCCAAACGAATTAATTCATTAATATATTTTGATTTCCCGAGCGGATAAGGCGAACAGCCCCTTGAAAAGGAACGAAGAACTAGACCACAGTGGTGAGTGTGGGGAAATTTGATGCATTTCAGATGAAACGGACACGAAGGTTAAAAACCAACAAGCTCGTATTGTGTTTATGGTAGGTAGGTAGGTACTCTATAATAAAAAGGACATTTCTTCGTGAAAGAGATTATTATGAGCATGGATAAAAGCAACGACTTTGGGTTGTAGAATTTGAACATTCGATTATTCGATTATTAATAGGAGAAGACCTCATTTTATATGAGGACGCAACAAAACAAATAGGTAAGAGATTGAATCAGACACAACATCTCCAATATCTATCCCATTACCTAAGAAAATAACCATACAATTCCAAACCATAAAATAAGCTTAATTCAATTGAATTCATTTTGGAAAGAGGAATAAGAAAAGATCTTCATCTTCTATGCCCTACCTAATACCTACCTAGACACCTACCTAGACACCTAACCACCTCCCACTTTAGATACCTACCTACTCCACGACGAACCAAATCACCCTCTTCATCCATCCAATATCCAACATCCATCCCCAGATCCTCAAATCCTCAAATCCTCAAATCCTCTACCTACCTAGGTAACCACACTTCTCACACCATCCAACTCAACCAACTCAACCAACTCAACCAACTCATCCAACTCATCCAACTCATCCAACTCATCCAACTTAACCAACTCAACCAAACGCATAAACAAATCTAACCTAAAACAAATCCCCGCTTGCCTTGCCTTCCCTTCCCTTCTCTAGATACCTCCCCGTGCTCCCCTCCATCCCTCCCTATCAACCTCCCTCCCTACCTAAAAACAACCACAACAGTGACATCCTCCCGAAACATTCCCCGCCGCTTTTGCTTTTCCACCTCCCTCTCTACCTCCCTCTCTACCTCCCTCTCTACCTCCCTCTCTACCTCCCTCTCATATTCATCTCACATTCATTTTCATCACATGTTTCGGACATTTAATCTAAAAGCAGCACAAATATCCGAAGATCCACTATGGAAACATCACGTTTCATGTTTAAGTACCTAGGTAGGTATCGATGGATCTAGATTTACAAGTTAATGAGATGAAGCATTCGAGTCTACACAGGTAAATTGTGTTGGACGAATACGTGTAGAGATGGATGTGTGGTGTTTTGAACACTATTATTTACTTTGATCCGAAAGAATATCTGGGCAGATTTTGATTCAACACAAAGATCATCAATTATACGGCATCCAAGATTGACATTCAAGGGTATATAAAGCATTGATACAGAATAACTTCATCATGAACCATCATAACCATCATCCAATCTTCTCCAAAAGCCACATCCGTATCGACATCCACGAATGCATCCATATGCTCTCGTGACCAACATTCTTCTTCTTCAAGGGAAGATGTCGAATAGTTTCTATTGGTCGTTGGTTCTCAATTTCCTTCTCACTGAACCAAGCTCCATGTAATCCGTACGGAACTCGTTGTGGAAGGTGTATTTTACATACAACGGTTTTCATATTCCTCGCATCGATAACCCAGAGTTCACTTTTTGCTTGAGGGCCTGCAACATTATGCTCATCAAGTTGAGCTTCATCAAAGACATAAGAAAGTAACCAGCCGTCATCTTCTGTCCTGCCGTTTTCTCGTGGTACAAACCTTGACTCTTGGGCGTAGAAACCTGGTGGCAGTTTAAAGATTTTTATAGGATCATTTGGATCGTTCGAAGCAAGAATTTCAGTGACCGTTCGCATATCAACACAGCCTGTGATGGGGGTTTGATTTGTCTCTTTTCCACGAGCGATTAACGCGAGGACATCCACTTTGACGAGTGAATCGATTTTGACAGCACGGCCAAGAGCAGCTCCAAATGTGCCATCCGATACCGAGCAGCCGTAAACATACTGTGCTTCAGTCATGGATAAAGATTCGCGTATTGAAGGAAATTCGAACGGTATCGATGAGAGAGCAAATTGATGGCTTATACCATTCTCCGTATCGATGAGTGGAAAACGATAATAGTATAATCGACATTGTTCTTCTTCGATTGGAGCAGTCATTGGGTTGTCTTTCGGGATAGGAGCTGCAACATCACCTGCGCTAAAGACTAGTGAAGCACTTGTCAAGCGGCAGGCTAGCATATTAACTGATATTGTTTCCTCGCTTTTGGTAGATGTATTGGTGGTAGTTTCGTCCCAGCTATTAGCAGTATGAAAGATGCAGCAGGCATTCGTTTCAAACCATCGAATATGTTCAGGTTTCCATCTTGGAAAAACACCAAACCTGGAAATTCCGGATGGGTCATATGAGACCACAGGTTCGTTACGGGCAAGATTCATGGGATCAAGTGAAAGAGGGAGATCCATGATTATGGTATGACTAAGGGAGACACCAAAATCATGCATCATCTTTGCGGATTTGACTCCAGGAACAGTAGCGTTGACGAGTCGTGGGAGCTTATTAGGAGAATTATTATGATGTGTACTGGGTATAATAGAATAATGTACAAAAGGTGCAATAAATGTAGAATGAAAAAGTATAAGTTCGTTCGTGATAGGATCGATTCTAGGATGTGCTGTTGTCCACTCCTTCATGAAACCAATGAGCCCACTTCCACCAAAGACTTCGCCAGATTTTGAGTCTGTGATCGGCTCTCCTTCTGCTCGAATACCATCGTACCAGCCGACAGTCTCTAAGCCTGGTAAGGAAATGCGCATCGGCGGTCCACTCTCGCATGTTGCTAAGGCTCTACCATCATGGTATAGTACACTGGTATTTGCTACGCTGATCTTTTTGATTGCCTTTGCAGATCCAGGTAGGTTGGAGAGGATGACAAGGAAAATGGTTCGGAATATTCGCAGAATGATTGTGAGAAGGGTTGAGGCGGGATTGACGAGCGTAGCTATGCTCGGAAGAATAGGTAAGCGGAGGGATGGCGTTGAGATGCTCGAGAGGTATGCATCGGTAAGGATGTATTGATTGACGAAATACGGGTGTGCACTACCATCTTCCGCTCTTTGAAATGCTACACCACTGAGCATTCCATCACCATCGAACCAATGTGCATCCCTACCCAATTCTTCATTTGTCACTGGATTTCCTCCATTGCGCACATATTCCCCGCCTGCCAGCTCCTTTGGTATAACGCCAGTGTAGATACAGGGTGTCAAAGGTTGTGTGCGATGTATAGGTGCAAAGTTTCCATGGAGATATGGATGTTGTTTCCTAGCCGCGTTCTTTTTCTCATTGACGAACGTCATGAACAGAAGAGTCAAGGAAATGCTGCAATTGAGATTTCCTTAACATGAACATATGGATAAAGAAGTGATTTGGTAACGGCGATGATTAGTTGGCATGAGTGTGATCTTGATAGGTAATGCGTAGTAGACAAGGTGAAATTTGTGAATTATTTCCCCAAGACAGGTGTGGTATTATGTTGGCGATTAGTGGAGATTTAGAAAATACCTACATATGGTTCTCTCATGGAAGTTCTTTGTGCCCTTGCCTTCTTGAGGGAAAGTATTTAGGAGGGAGCTTCAGTGCGAGTAGGAATATTGTATGAAAAGCATTGTTCCTTGGTCTTGATGCGCCTCGCCCCTTGACAAATGAAAAGCAGAGAATGGAGCGGTACTTGATCAAGGACACTACCAAGGAAGAGTGTAGAGTGGTGAGGAGAAGGAAAATGCGAGGTATGACGACAACCTGTGACTAGCATGCGGTGGAACGACCAACCTTGGAACTAGGGAATCGGGATCGGGATTTAGCTTACCTGAGCTTACTAAGATCTCACATGCCTCGGGAAGGAATGATGGGAATTGTTGATGGGAAACTCGGATGAATGATGAATGATGAGATGGAGAAGTGAAGTAAGAGATGGACCTTGCAGACCAGATGGGCACAATCAATCGGAGATTACATAATACGCGTCGGAAAAAAAGTAATGACGACATGGAGCATTGTAATTGACAACCTTGGAGGGATCGGATTCTGGTACGCGCCACCACTTTCTCGACACTGTTTTGGTATCTACTAGGTATCTAGTACTCATCAGGTGTCTTTTGAGATTCGAAATTCCCATCAATTCATTCTTTCAAGGCTGTCTACTATCTACCGAGTAGACACCTACCTACCTCGTATGGTTTTGATGATAGGTGCAAATGAATCATGATAGATGTGCCAGGAGAAAATCTGACATTCGAAACAATTAGCGTGGGGATGATTCAGCCAACATTATGACTAGACTCGTAACAGACTAATAACAACAACACTGATGTTATTATTAGTCTACCTCGAGTCTACTTTGTTGAGAGTAGTATAGTATAGTATTGTATAGTATCAATAAACCGGAACGTACCGCAATACTACTTACTTGGTAGGTCACTAAGCTCCTCGCCATTGAACCATTATGAGCCGCTTCCCGTAACCGCAAATACCACACACACATACCTACATACTGTGAGCGGGAATGCCCAAGCCTTAAATCTAGGTTTCTACTACCTACCTGCCTACCTACCTGCCTACCTAATAATCTTCTTCCGTTTTACCAGCTTTGCCTGCTTTACTGGGATGCCACTTCCGTTCCAACTTCTCCTCATTCAATCCCAATTAGTGAGAAATTTCTTCTCATCCCATATTACCTCTTAGTCTCCCTGCACCACTTCATCGGTTTTCCATCTCTAGAGTCTAGATAGAGTCTCTAGTCTTGGGTTTTGTATAGAGATGTCTATATTCTGCAGATCTGGG